TTTTCAACTGTTTTTCGTGCTGGCGGAGTTGATCAAACGAAATGGGATAAAAAAGAATTTGACTCAGACCATTACAAAAGGACATCGTCCCTTGTTCGATCTCTTTATTTTGCATCTTCTTCTTTTATGTGCCGTATTCCTTCAAAACGTAAACGATTATGGCCCTCTACCTCCTCCTGTTTCTTGCATCTCTTAATAAGATCTGCAAGGAACAGGAGGAGGTGGAGGGCCATGATCTTAATTTCGATTTTTTGTTATTTCTCCCAGACCCTGTCCCGCAATCCACTTGTTCAAGCCGATTAAGTATGCCTCGCGTTGTTTTCTCCTGTCCCTCTTTCCCTCTATCCATCCTGTGAGTATCAGATTTTCTGAGCCTTCCTTTCTTATTTACGTATCCTAGAAATTTCAGCTGCCTCGTACTGATGGTAAGTTTCCTCTTTGTTTCCATTTTCTCCAAAACCTCGCATATTCGGCTCATGGTATCCATAGCATCCTTCTGTAGAACCTCACGTCTGTTGCTTTGCTGCATTACAGGAGGAGAGATATTACGATGGAGTTCAGTACTCTTTTCTTTGTTTTCAACAAAACTTTCTTGTCTCGAAATACTCTGCTTAGTATTTGGAATGCGTCTTTGGCCATCCCAATATTTCTTTGGATCAGGGGTCGGAATAAAGCGAGAACTCTCAACCATAACGAATCGAATTAAGTTGTATTTTTTCAAGATTTTACCACTTAGCTAAAAAATCATTGCCCAAAGAAAATCACAAAGCATTTCTCTTAAATTACGTTTGATACTGCAGCTTATCAGGCGCCTTATATTGTACTTGTATCAGATAATATTTCAGAGTGTTATTTTTTAGTGGCAGTGTATTTTGTTTCAGGCCTTCTGAGACTAACCTTTAAGGTCAGATGGTAGACAAAATAGGGAAGTCGTTTTTGATTGGCTGAGCCGAATGTGGGAATGAGTTACAGATTAAGGTTTTTCGGGAGTTGTTCGGACGTCGAGCGAACTCGACGTGTCAGATTGCGTTTGTGCAAACCCCCGCCATTCCAGCAGGGAAGAGTCTTTCGACAGTTGGCTGTTACACGTTAAAGGAAATGGACGTGTGGCATTTCTTGTTTAAAAGCGGTTCTCTAATAAGGGGTGTAGTAACCCCCCCCCAACACACACACACCCCTGATAGAAGAGGTACCCGTCGACGTAGTTAATAAAATAAGAGTGAAGTTAAAATTTCTCTTTGTTGATGCTTTTCGTCTCTGAACCCAAGGAACATTTCGCGACGCCGACCAAGAGAAGAATAGGATTGAACTAAAGCAACAAGCGATCACGAACCAGGGCAGATGAGGCCAACCAAAAACAGCACCATCCTCCAAGGAAGAGATACAACACTTATCTATCATTATTAATAATAAAAAACGGAAAAAAGGAAAAAAAAGTAAAAAAGAAAGAAAGAATATTACCTTACTGCACTTCGTCTGTTAATCAGAAAGAAAGATAGTCTTAGTGTTATAATACGCATATAAGCTCGTACTTTCTGGTTGATACTATTGTAAGGAAAGCACTGGAACAAAAGATTAGTGAAGAGCAGGTGTAATCACAAGAGTTACGTGAATCGTATAGCTGGCCACTCGTATTTAATGATACCCGTCTACTAGAGCGGCTAGTCAATTCCTATTACAAACGCTTGGTCAGGGACATTTGGTTTATTCAACACCCACAGGGCCCACAAGTGGTTTATACTGCAACTATGTTGAGCAGACCTTAGTTACAGTTTCTCGAAAAGAAAAAAAGAAAGAAAGATCGTGTTATCTAACGTGGTCAACAATCTGAACAAAGCCAGCACGCTCAAGCCCTCGGCCACGATGACTGTGACCTCGTGCTAGCAAACTATCTCCGTCTACCCAATTTTCACTCACAAAGCTTGGTATGGTTTTCAGGCACTTTCCAAAGGTGCCGCACGTTGGGATCGACTCCTCCAGTCCGAAAACATCAGGAAGTCTTCTTCCTGACAAATCGACCATAATGAGATTCGAGCCCGGAAATCGACCATGGTGAGATTCGAAACCGGTTCAAAATGCGAACGTTGTAACCACTCGGTCACGTGCCTATCTTACATGGATTAATAATACAATAATAGCGAATACCGTAGTTCAGTGCGGTAATGCGTACGACTCAATGCTACGCCTTGCGGCCCACTTTGCCACTCCTGTTCTTATGACCAGACGTCCCACTAATAGGAAATAGACGAGTCTATGTTAAACAATTAGGGTAGAGAAGGCCGGTCGCCTTTCTATGCAATATCTAATAAATTAAAAAAAAAAGAAGGTATCTCGAAGTATTTTAAGAGAGGAAGGAAAACGCGACACCGAAATCCGTAGGCGTATTGGGCTAGCAAAAGATGCTTTTAAAAAGCTAAGCAAAGTATTAAGAAATAAGAAAATTCATTGAAAACAAGGAAAAGAGTACTGTAATATTATATAATATCAATCTTTTTGCATGGCAGTAAATGCTGGACAATCTCATCACGATGAAGAACAGATCTGAGGCCACAGAAATGTGGTTCTACAGAATACCATGGACTGGACATGTGAGCAATGACAGAGTTTTAGAGAAAATGGAAACAAAAAGGATACTTATGCATATCATCGGAAAGAGACAGTTGAAATTTCTAGGGCACATGATGAGGAAAGAGGGCTTGGAAAATATGATACTCACAGGACAAATTAAATGCAAGCGGAACAAACAAAATCAAAACGTAACATACCCAACGAGATTCTGTAAATGGTTGGCAGAATAGGCATTAGAAGATATTGTAAAAATACAAGCCATAGTAAGGGCTACAAAAGAAGTTATTTAACTCAATGGTATCTGTGTTTTTAAGTCGACAGTAGGTGTTTTGACGCGTTGACAGCCTGATGACAGGTCTAATGTTGTTCTACGGAGACTGTAAAGCATCTGTAAAACTTAATTTAAGAAAATTAAGGGAGCGCCTTTTTTATATAATTTTAAGTACTCAGTAATCGTTAAAGTTTAGGAAAATATTCTCCGTAAGTTATTGAATTCTAGAAATGTTGACTTTAAATTTACTATAGTTATCGCTCTTATTTTCTGATAATGTGTATGGTCGCCCGTACAAAAATCGGCACATTTATACACACACAAACAAAACAAAAAAAAAATTCAAAATTCTTTTTAAAATATTGGTGTTTGATGATTTGTATTAAGGTTTTCTATTTATGATTAGTAAATATAGTTTTTACTTGATAGAATTCTGGGCTAAAATTACTACGGAATTTTAAAAGAATTAAAACTTAATAAGTTTTTGTAATTAAAATTTAAAAACAATGAAATGAAAACAATTCTTGTAAAAATTCATAATTCACTGAAATTTTTTTCTGATGACAATAGTATCCTTATTATATCTTATTTATAAAGCAATTAAAAGCTTTTCTAATTAAATTATGTCATAGTTTTATTGCATTTTTTACTTTACGATTCAGAGCAGATTTTCAGTAAATGGTGTTTCTGTTTGGCAAAAACAAATTGACGATTTAAATTCTATGATGAGTCCTGCGTTTAACTAATATAAATATGAAGCTGACCTTTGAATTTCTTGAAATTTCATAAAATTAAGTAAGTGGGTTAACAGATGTAAAAGAAATATTTTTACCAAAATTTTCTAAAAAACATCCCAAAATAATTTCATTCATTTGTAAATAAGTATTGAAAATTTCATTAAAATCCGACAATTATTTGATTTTTGCAAGAATTTTCAAAACAATGTTTTTTTAACATCCCACCCCCCCACCAAAAAAAAGAAAAAAAGTACGCTAAAAATCCCTAAAATAATCTTTGGCACACCCGCTGACACAAGAAAAACAAGATTTTTCACTAAAATTCCGAACGTGCTAGAAAGGATTTAAAAATTTAATAAAATTAAAAAAAAATACTTTGGTCTTTCGTAATAACGAATATTTTGACGATAAAAGTTTATTTTTGGTCAAGTTTGGGTAATTTCTTGATCATGGTATGTTCTTTTAAAGAAAATCTTTGGAGGTACCTCGGCCAATATTACAAGAAAAATTTGAAATTCAATGAAATCATTTACGAAATACGATATCCTTCTGGAATGGAAAAAAAAAAAAAAAGAATCTTTTTGATGTAACAGCTCAGATGCCGCCATATTGATTTATTTTTTTTCGAAACTGGAGATACCACGTTTTCCTAATACCACATCTGATTCCATTTTCTTCTTTTTTTTTCGATTTTTCAGTCAACCTGAATAATAAAGACTCTCTCTTACCTGCAAATGTTCAAGTTACAAACTTTTTTGATACAAACTAAACTGTCTGCAAATTCAAATTTTTGGCACCGCGTCGACGATTCTGAGGTTCAATCGTCGTGCACTAGATGGCATTAATATTGCTTTCCAGCGTTGTCCGATAAACAACAGAATAAAATGCAGCAGCAAATAAACCCGTCCATCCAGTACAACATCACGGAGCAAATTGTCGTGCAATAGTGTCGACTGGCGAACCGAGCGGCGCATGAAGTAGAAAATTATGCAAATACTGACTATTTAATATCAACAAGGTATATAATTGTGCTTGTCCATCCTTTCGTTATTTTGCACGGCCGTTACGCCCTGCCAACATCTAAAAAATACGGACTATTTCGTTTTAAACATGTGGAAAGACGAGACAAATCATAGACGATACTTGGTTTCAGTGAAAAACAGAAAGAAAGAGAGATAGAAATGTTTAAAATCTCCTGCTAATATCTTTTAAATAATGAACTATTCCATTTTGAAGACAAAAGACATTCATAGAGGCTACTTGGTTTCAATGTGAAAATGGAAGAAAGAAGGGGAAATAGAAGTATTTAACTTCTTTTTCAGTGAAATACAAAAGATTGTCAATTTGAAATCTTTTCAATTGTACACTGTTACTCCTTAAAATAACAATCAGCATTCATATTTACGCAATATTTTGTTAAATATTTAAGATAGATAGATAGATAGATATATAGACGATATGAAAAACTGAGTTAGATAGATAGATAGATAGATAGATAGATAGATAGATAGATAGATAGATAGATGAGATGAAAAGCTGAGATAGATAGATAGATAGATAGATAGATAGATAGATAGATAGATAGATATGAAAAACTGAGATAGATAGATAGATATCAAAAGCTGAGTTAGATAGATAGATAGATATGAAAAACCGAGATAGATAGATAGATAGATAGATAGATAGATAGATAGATAGATAGATAGATAGATGATATGAAAAGCTGAGATAGATAGATAGATAGATAGATAGATAGATAGATGATATGAAAAACTTGAGTTAGTGTTATGGTCCGCTTCCTTGTACCACGGTGATGACCCAAGGTAGAACCAAATAAGAAGAACTCGAACACGGATATGGAAGAACACAGATATATTGCAAACAGGAATATATACAGAGAGGTAGAAAAGTGTTAGTACGAAAAATCAGGTTTAGTAGTAATTGTCTGAACGCGACTCTGTTTCGGACTGCCTCTGAACTCGACTGACTGACTTGCTCGCTCTGACTGACGGACTTCTGACGGACTTCTGACGAACCTCACTCCAGACTTCGGACTGAATGGTATTTAGTCACCCCCCCCCATGAGGGCATCATGTTGCACAAGGCCGGTTTAACGTGGGAAAACTATGCCTTTTTAACCCGTATAAACGGGTTCAGGGTCGGTTTACCTTCCCGAAAGAGACTCCGCCCTTCGGCGTAGCCTCGTTCGGGTTCCTCCCCGCCCTTACACAGAGAGTTCAACCGATCAGCCGATCAGTCGGTCGCCCGACTTCGGACTGAACTCTCTGCTTCCTTTTGAGGCTCAGTATTTATTACGTATGGAATAGTCCATTATGTTATTATGGGTAAGGTCCCCTAATAGATAGATAGATAGATAGATAGATAGATAGATAGATAGATAGATAGACGATATGAAAAACTGAGTTAGATAGATAGATAGATAGATAGATAGATATGAAAAACTGAGATAGATAGATAGATAGATAGATAGATAGATAGATAGATAGATAACTGAGGTCTTGTTTTATCAGAGCAATGTTCCAGCACAAAAGTCCTTGTTTCAATGGTTGTTGTGTGTGACTGTGCCTTTGAGCTGGTTCATCGCCCTCCCTATTCTCCTGATTTGTCCCCATCTGACTATCATCTGTTCTCGAGCATGAAGAAAACACTTGGCTGGGAACCAATATCGCATTGATGGTGACGTCATATCTGCTGTTGATGGCTTTTTTTTTTTTGACCAACAGGACGAAAGCTTCTTCCCCAATTGGATCCAAGCACTGTAACACCGATATAAGAAGTGTTGAAAAATAAACCTCAATTGGTCACATTCCATGAGAGTATCTTGGTCAGCCTATGAATTCTTTAGCCGACCATCGTACAAGTGGATACTCTCCACAAAATATGGGAATAATTGTATCGAAAATAAAAAAAAAAACCTTCGTGGACTGTTTTAAAACGATTTATTTTCAGACAACAGTACATCTAATAAATGTAAAAATCCACAAAGGATTTTAGCATTTTAATAATTTAAATGTCTGAGACAGATTAAAACTTAAATATTAGCATTTTAATAATTTAACTTGGGCTTTTTGACTACGATAGCCTTTCGTAACTACCTCAGCAAGTTGACATTGATGGCGTGTCGCCTTCGAAGATAGTCAATATGCACAATGCCTTTTGTATCCCCAAAATCGAGTTCATTACCTTCCCTGAAGATGATTTTAGCCTTCTTTTGAGCAGATGAGGAAGGGTACTTTTACTCCATAGATTGTCTTTCTGTCTCTGGCTCAAAGTGATAAACACCAACACTCATTCTGGATTAAGAAACCTTCTAGGAAACCAACTGGATCTGCTTCAAACAATGACAGATTTTCCTGCTTTGATCAAGTGTTAAAAGACGTGGCACCCACCGAGAAGAAGCCTTTAGTTCAATGTACAGAATAATATTCTCAATTCTCCCACGGGATATACCAATAGAATGGACTATTTGATTTTTAGTCAATCGCCTGTAATCTGTCACCAAGTAGTAAAGACAATGTTTTCCTTATTGGTGACAGTGGCAGGATGTCTAGACCGTGGGTTATATTCAAAACTATCCCCTCTCCTCTCTAAATTCAGCTACCCACTTTTGTCTGTTCATAAAACTGGGGCGTCATTCCCTAATATAACCACCATGTCAGCATGAATGTCCTTGGGGGACTAAACTCATTTTCTGTGGGTACTTGATAACACCACGTTGCCAAATTTTGTCCATTTTCAAGAGAAGTCACTACTAAAGGTTGAAAATCCTTTATCCGAAATTCTTGAGACCAGAAGTGCTTCGGTTTACAGATCTTTTCGTATTTTGGAATAAAGGCTGCATGTTAATTAGATGTACCAACTGCTCTTTATCCTATTAGGTTGAGGCAAACGTTTCAAGCAATATTGTAACATTGTGAATTTAAAATAGAAGAGAATAAATTAACGTTTAGGATTGGGAAATAAAAAAAAATTACTAAAAATCAGCCACACAGATTGATGAAGTCTTGGGCACATTTCAAGTCCTCATATCTGCTGAACTATGAATGGTAGTAAGATGAAACTGGTGCCATTTTAAAGCTAATTTCATTAAGTTTTTTGTAATGCTAATTATTTTTTCATACTTTTTTCAGATTCAGTAATGGCGGTCACTCAACTAGAAAAGGCGTTTTGCGTTTTTGAATTTGCAAAAACTGAATCATGGACAATTGTTCGACGTGCATTTGGGACAAAATTCCGAAAAGAGGCGCCAGAAAGGAAGTCCATATTGAGATGGCATGGTAAATTCATGAAGGATGGGTGTTTGTGCCCAGCTAAGAGAACGGGACGCCCCTTAACTTCAGATTGAGCGAGTTCGAACTTCCTTCGAGTGGAGCCCCCTCCGTAAATCGATCAGAAGAGCCAGTAAGGAACTTCAGTTTCCTACAACAACTGTTTGGTGTGTCTTAAAAAGCCGACTGCACATGACACCTTACAATCTACAGTTAACCCAACAGTTGTAGGACATTGATAAACCAGTTCGTCGTGACATTTGCAATGCTGGAACGCGTTTGCCATGAATTGGACTATCGGCTTGATGTGTGCCACGTGACCAACGGTGCACGCATTGAATATCTTTGAACATTCCATGTAAAACTTGAGAATAAATTCTTTCTGAATATGTCAGGCGCGTTTTTATTTCCTTAATAGTTTGCGAGATATTCAATGTCAAAATGTTCCCAAGACTTTTGGAACACCTTGTATATCGCATTTATTTACTCCTGCCAGATAAGGAGAAGGGGCTACAATTCGCGAAGAATCACAAAGATTGGGTAAAAAAAGATTGGAAAAAACGTTTCCTGATTTTGTATTCTGCTGTGACATGAAGACGATCAGGCCAGAATCTGATGTACACAAAATGAAAATACAGATACAATCGTTCAGGCTGATGGTGTAATGGTAAGGGCAATATTTTTTGGCATGCACTAAGACACTTGGTACAATCGTTTAAATGCTGTAGCCCACTTCGGTATTGTGGTTGACCACTTGCCTCAGTTTAAGACTGCATTGTATCCGACCCCTGGTGGCCAGTTGCAACAGGCAACGCACTATATCACAAATCAAAAATAGTGGCATTTTGAATTCATGAGAGGTAGCAATTAGATTTTTGTGTTAAAGTTTTCTCCACAGTTACCAGATGTCAAACACTTATAGTACATCTGGGATGTGGTGGAGAGGGAAATTTGAATGGTAGATGTGCAATCAATAAATCTGGAATAACTGCGTGGTGCCATATTAACAGCATGGACCTAAATTTCGAAAGAATGCTTCGAGAACGTCGTCAGATCTATACCAAGAAGAAATGAGACGATTATAAAAACTGTTATGATAATTTACCCACGCACACATGGACTCTCCCAGCTATAAATAGGAACAGGTACTGCCTTTTGAAGAGGAAAATTTCCAGCAGTCAGCTCTGACAGTCGCGCCGAACATTCTTGCTGTAACACTCTCGTGTGTATATATTTGTATTACTGTTTCTGTTAATATATTTGTTTAACTCAGTTCCTCATTCGTGCCTTTATTTCTGGCCCTAACAAGGCCACAACAAAAACAAAAGTGGCTTCAGTCTCGTTTTTCAGGGGTTAAAGAATGTAAAAATTGTCCATAGTTATAATTATTCCGAGCACTTTCGGCTACTTCTCTAGCCATTATCATGGATGTTGTATTCGGATGGTGAACTTCTGTGTGTTGCTGTTATATAGTAGTTTAGCTAATTAAAAGATTAATTAAATCTTCCTTATCAGCCATTTTCAATGAAAGATATGTATATAAAGGAACACTGAATTTAACAGCAAGTGGCGACAATCTGTTTCATGCTTGAATGCGCTCTTCAGGCCTGAAGTGTGCGTTCAAACATGAAACTGACTGTCGCCAGTCGATATTGATCTCGGTGTCCACGTTTATATTTATATACGCTCAATCCCTAATATTGAGCACTGTTATCCGTAAATATCTTCTTCTTCTTCTTCTTCTTCTTCTTCTTCTTCTTCTTCTTCTTCATGTGCTGTGCCTCTTCAGGACGCTGGCGATTATGGCTCTCCATAATTTCCTGTCCTCTGTAGCTTTGAATAAATTGTGTCTTTTTGTTGTCTCTCCTAAACTTTGCTCCGCCATTCATTTACTCAAGACTGCTAAGTTATTCATTGCACTCCCCTCGTCCCTCTTGGCTTCGCTCTGTCCTGTGAGTATCAAGTTTTCCACGCCCTATTTCTTCATTATGTGCCATAGAAATTTCAACGGTCTAATTCTTGTGTTAATTATAAGTGTACTTTTTCAGTTTTCTCTAAAATTTTGTCGTTGTTCACATGTTCAGTCCATGGTATTCTCAGCATCCTTCTGTAGAACCACATTTCTGTTATTTCAAGTCTCTTCTTCATCTGTGTGGAGATTTTCCAGTATTCACTGCATTGTTCCCATATATATAACATGCCTTAAAACTATATTTTATTATATATATATATATATATATATATATATATATATATATATATATATATATATATATATGTTAAAGAACGGCTCATGATCAGACATATTAGACATTCATTGTCTGTTATATTTAACAGTATATGTTTAAATGATGATCTGCTGCTCCAATACATAAAATTCATGTATATATATATATATATATATATATATATATATATATATATATATATATATATATTGATAAATATACATATTATACGTCACCGGTAGCACGACTCGGAATTTCATATAACACAATCTTCAGGAGCTTGATAGAGACTGCTATAGTATATTACATCGAGCACTATTTTATTAACGCTAGCACTTTGTGCGATATCTTATATTCATTTATATATATATATATATATATATATATATATATATATATATATAAGGATATATATATATATATATATATATATATATATATAATATATATATAATGATAATATATGTATATATATATATATATATATAAGGATTATATATATATATATATATATATATATATATATATATAGAGATGGGTATATTTATGGGATAAAGGGCTCAATATCAGAGATAGCGCGTATGTAAATATAAAAGTGAACATTGAAGTCAACACTCAGAGGCGACAGGGTCTTTCATGCTGGACGGCCTGACGATTGCATCCAGCATGAAACAGCCTGTCGCCTCTGAGTGTTGACTTCAATGTTCACTTTCATATATATATATGTGTGTGTGTGCCCGTGTGTGTCACTGTGTGTGTGCGCGCACGCGTGCATGTGTGTTTGGTGATACCACTTCGCATAAAGTTCAGTTTAAAATAAACAATGCTTGAAATTCCTAGGAAAGCCAAACTAGTTAGGCCATAGATATTACTCTCAATTTTGTTTAATTTCGTACTTATCTTCGAACAAGTACTCCTTGAAATGTCTTATGACTGCGATACGTCAATAATCGAATCACGTGTATAAACACTCGTCCGATATGTGGCAAATTGT